TTATTACATATGTGAAAAAGTTTTTCAGATCAAACGAACAAATTTTCGCAGAAATATAGGACTTTGGCTGTATCGTTTCAAGTATCATATTTATACATGAATGCTGTACTGAGAATATGTTCAACATAAAAAAAAGAAGAAAAAAAAACTCATGAAAAAGTTTAATTTTATAATGCTAAGAAGTTTTCTCATTATGTGGCCTCTAACAGAATAGAAAAATGTCTAAAAATAGACTCAGACCACTTGTGAATCTATTTATGTATCATAAATTATGTTCAACTTTTTCCTATAAATTAAAGTGTTTAGATGAAAAAAATAAATATCAAATATATTCTTGTAGGTAATATGACATTGATGTATATTGCCTAATAAATTAATGAAAGACATGTCAAAATGATTTATGTCAATGAACAACCTCTCTTTTAATAATTTTATTAAATTTGTGACTAAATTTTCATTTTTAACAAAAATAATTTAGTAGTTACACTATTTAGAATAACACCTACTAGTGTTCGGTATCTTCGATTTTAATGTATGAACAGATTCAGTAAATTTCTATATATAACTTCTTCTTTTTTTTTTTATCAAGTAGTCTTATTTTTTTTCATATTCCATATTATTCCCAAATGAAATTAAGTTCACTAGTTTATTGAATTCCAACGAGGTTATAAAATCGTATAATAATATAATAGTAAATCAGGATCATCAACCGATGTAAGATCTCAATATTTAAATTGTTCTCTCATTTTATATATATATATAAATATATCAGATGAGATCAATAAAATAAAGTATAAGAGGAGAGAGTATTATAAGTAGAAGAAAAATAAATGAAAAAGAAGATTTGAAAAAAATTATTTATCAAAAATATTCAATATGAAATCTATAATTATTATAAATATAAACAAACTTATCAATGTCAAATTGATATATTTAGATAATAAAAAGATACTTAATATAAATTGACTACAGGTATAAATAAACATGTGATATTCAATTATTTTCTATGTGCGTGAATGAAAATTAAGAAGGATTTGCGTTTTGTTTTTTGTACGGTAATTATATTTTCTACGATAAGAATAAAAGGAGAAACAACTTTAAGATTGACAACAATCGCATTTAATTTAATTAAAGCAACACAATATTCTATTATAAGACGTTTGAGTGTCGTCGAGAGAAAAACAAAAAATTGTGTTTATGTTTGAAATATCTCTCAAAATATGATTAGTAAAGTTCTATGTACACATGGTTATAGATTATATATATTACTCTATGTTCTTCGATAAAACATAATGTTTAAAACGTGATACAAATGAAAATGATAACATATCTTTCTTTTTTTCTCTTTGAATATTTCATAGATAATGCACATAATCATAATATGTGTTGAGGGAATTTTGAGAAATAAATAAAATAGAATGATGTTTTGATTTACTGCTAATACATATATCGTCACATCATTTTACACAAATAATTAGTATTGATATTATTGTTTATTGTTACATCTTCTAGTTTCTGATGATATATACATTTGCACTTAAACAAGTTTGTCTATAAGAGTAATAGATACATTTTAGTTTTATTAACAATATATATCTATATACCGTTATAAGACAAGATAGTAGGACATTGAGAATAAGAACACTGTCGTACTTGAATATAAAAATTTAAAAAAAAAACAAAAAAAACGACTTCAGTTTTTACTTAGTTCCTGATGGTTTATTCAAAAATATAGATTCAATTGATCAAATGAATAAGGCTTATTACTGTCTTTGTGTTTTGATAATCCTAGACTCCCTCCTACATATTTATTGTGAAGAATTAATAAAAAAATATATAAAAAATTTTAATCGAGTCCTATAACTTCCGTTAGTTGATTAAAAACCAAAAATTGTTGTTAACAAGAGAAAATCTGAAGATAAAACCGCATAACACATGTGCATTAAAAACTTACAGTAGGATATCTATTCTTTTTTGATTAATGTGGGTCGAACATAGTCTTGGATATAGAGAACTTTGTTGATTGTTTTTGTATTTTAACTTAGTATTAAAAATAAAATACTTGATAAAGATGATATCAATCAAATACTTTAATGAAAAAACTGTCTAATAGATCAGGTTTACTTTGATATATTCTGTTGAGAAAAAATTATTCAATGTTAAAGTTAAAGGACAAAAGCGTTTTAATATAAGCAGCATCTAAAAAAATGAAAATTCTACTATCAAAATTAAAGTAAAAGCTTTTTTAATTTTGATACCGATCTTAAAATGAGATTAACTACGATTTTTTAGTCAGTTTATCCGTGTAACAAATGTCAAAAGGTAAGAATATGACACATTTTTTTTTATCTCTCAATCTTTTTGTTCTATATTGTGTTGAACGATAAAAGAGAGTTGTATTTGTATTAAATTGAGGTAAACAGTTAGTCAATAACAAAAAGAAACATACGTCATTGAATGATAAAATCATAATAAAATCAAGGGTTTGAATTGTTGAAGCAAGAGCAACTACTTTAGTTCTCACTTTCTTCTTCTCAATTCTTTTTATATTCTGTTTAAAGAGAGCTATTCTTTTTGCTCAAGAACATTGAAAAAGGGAAAAGAGGAATTTGTCTTCCGATAGTCATCGATTTCCATTCATCAACGAGTTTTAATTAGTAATTGCATTAAATGAGTGAGAGAGAAAGAGAGAGAGAAAGAGAGAGAAAGAGAAATATTTTCCATTTTCTCACATCATTTCGTTTAAATCATAATAGTTTTTTAAATACTCAAGTAATATAGATATATCGTTTCAATAAAAATCATCTTGAAAAAAAAATAGATATGAAGTGAAATGATATATTTTTTCGACAACACAAAAAATCGACTAATTGAATAGAGAATAGATATAGATATATACAAATTCAACGTAGTGAAAAACCTAATAAAAAAAAAAAAAAAAACAACTTCTCAAAAAAACAGCTAAATATTTTCCCTTGATAGAGAGTATGTAGTGGAAAATAAAACAAAGAATAGAAAAGTAGATGAAGTCGTGTATATTTTTATTTCTCTCGTTTGATGATGACTATCAAAGGATAGATTTTTCATTCAACATCATCATCATTATGTTTGTTTGTTTTTCTTTGTTCTTGTATTCTACTACTACTACTATTAATACTCATACATTTTTAAAATAGGATAAGTGATTGTCTATTCGAATTCAGAGACATTCTTTTCTCCTATTATTAATTTTTTTTTTTATTATTATATGAACATCAACCTATTGAATAGGAAGAAGTAAAGGGTCCTAAATCTCGAAGAAGAAGAAGAAGAAGAAGAAGAAAAAGCAAGATAATTTAAATAATAGAAAATCTTTGACAATTTTTATATATTAATCACTAAATGACATAAATAAAAAAAAAAAAAAATTAATTTTCATACGATTGCAAGAAAATCTTCTAGAAATTGTACTTTCTGATACACTTCTGACATAGTAGTTGTATGAATGAAATACTTGACATGCTTGATTTTTGTCATCATAAATTGTATAGTATTGTTAGTTTTTTCTCTCTTATTTTGTTTTTCCGTTTTTGTTTTTTTTTTATTTTTGTTTTATTCTTCTTCTTCGTCTTCTTTTTTTCTTTTGTTTCAACTTTCTACTTAATAACTCATGAAAAAATAACTATCATTTTTATGAATAGCACGACATTAGAAAATAATTGTCCTCAGTGATTTGTGTGGTGGTATATATTTTATATTTCGTGAGTATATAGTATTTTTCTTCTTTTTTTTTTTTTCTTTTTTTTTTAAACTATAGAAAACACTCTTCGTAATATGATGTCTCATACTTGAGTCTTTTAAAAGTGGAGTTCAAGGAACTGTTATGTAAAAAAAAAAATAAAAAATAAAAATCAATGACTTGTCTCAATGAAGAATTCAACTATTAATGATTTTATAGACTTCATGTTTCCGACATGTCACATACGCGTTTTCTCTCTTCTTTTTTTCTTTTTTTTTTTTATCATATTACAATACTCAAAAGGTTACAATATATTCTAGACAGAATGTAAGTGATTTTGATCAAATGTCAGTTTGGAACATTACATCAGTCATTATATGACATTTATGATGAACTACTGTAGATATGTTTAACAATGATCGTACTCATATTCAATTTAAAGACAAAAAAAAATTTATCATAAAATAAAATAATATGTTTCTATTATCAGTTACGGAAACTGTTTTCTAATGAATTTAATTTTGTGGAAAAAAAATTTTTTTTTTTTTTTTTTTGCACTTAAAGAAGAAAAAAAAAATTTAAGTTTAGAATGGAAAAAAATATAAAAACAAAAAAAAAAAGTAGATAAAAAATTTTTAATTTTCAATTCAACTGATAATTTTTGCCTATCTATATTTTTATTGATAGACAAAGTTTTCATATTTTAAAAAATCATGATAAAATATTCGAATAAATGTCGAGTCTAATTTTAATATTGAATCAATTTTGAAAATTAAATAGAATGATTAAAAAACAGAAGTGTTTTTTGTTTTTTTTATATATAACCATTTGTTTTTTATTTATGGTCTAAAAACTAGTCATTAATTTTACTTGTTAAATGATGTTCGAATATGTGTTAACTCAATCGAGAAATGTGTCAATTCATACAATTGTAGGCTAAAATTGGATTCTCTATCACAGAAATATCACTCACTTTTAAACGTCTTTTTTTAAAGTATATCCAAAAAATAAAACAATATTCACAAGACTCTTTTTCTTTTTTCATTATATACTTCAAATATATATATATAATCATGTTTTGCTCTAATTTATATATTTATATTCGTCTTCAATTTGTTTCTTATTACCTATAAAAAAAATAAATAAATCAATAAGTCTATTAAAACAATTATAGATAAAAATTTTTTTTTTTCTTTTCTAGATGATGTATAAGCAATATTTTCTGTTATAAGAAAAATGTGTTACAATCAAAATAATAAATTTATTAAATTTTCTATTTCAAATGTATTCGTCATCATACACAATAAAATTTAAAAAAATTTATTTAATTAATCATTATTATTATTGTTTATCATTAATCATTAATTATATAGAAATTGATACAACTACTACTATTTCTATAACTATTTTTCTTTTATCATCATCACCATTATCATCATCATCACCATCATCATCATCATCATCATCATCATCATTTTCACCATCTTCATCATCATCATTATCATCAACGAATGTTGTTATTATAAAATCGTTATTATTACCTCAATTTCAATATCATCAAATTTTAGAACAATCATTATTTTTTTCAATAATCAGTCTGGATTCGGATACGACATTTATTTATAGAGTCAGTGAATATCTGCTCAAAGTATATCCGGTGATTATGTTAATATTAGGTGTATTTGGTAATGCACTATCATTTTGTGTACTCATTCGACAATCTATGCGTCGTTATTCAACATTTTGTTATCTTGCTTGTTTAGCACTTGTCGATATTGGTGTGATATTAACATTTTGTATTAATTTTATTTTATTATATCATTTTAAATATGATATACAAGATAAAGCATTTGCATGTAAATTATTTGCATTCTGTATATATTTTTTACCACAATATTCATCATGGTTATTAGTAGCTGTGAGTTTTGATCGTGTTATATCAGCAAAATATTTAAAATTAGCTAAAACATGGACAAGACCAAAACAATCATTATCTATAATGATTGTTCTCGGTATTACATTAGCACTTTTAAATATACATTTTTTCTATTATAAAAATAATTCAATACAATTAAAAACAAAAATTAGTACCACAACACTATCAACTATAAATCGAAGTCGATCAATTAGTTATGAACCACAGCTTGACCATTTTAATGATGAACAAACATCATCTGCATATGATTCATTATCGTTTACTATTCCCGATAATGGTCAGTTAAAATCATATTATACTGATACAACATTAGCATCTATTCCATCAATAAAAACATCAGAAAAGATTATTGTTGCCGGTAATGACGTTAAAATATCCGATGTAAATATTATTCATTGTTCATTGGAAAACGATCCAAAATTAAAACATTTATATCCATATTGGGCATGGATTGATCTACTTATGAATGTTATTATACCATTTACAGGTAATTTTGATTTAGATAGTTGTACTTGTTATTAAAGTTTATTTTTGTTAATTTATAAAGACATATCAACTTCTTAATGTCACAATAATTTAAAATTTATTATACCTTGTTGTAGATTGTACAAGTTAGAAAATTCTTGGCATCGAACTTAATTTTCGCTTCAGATACACAGAGTATCCAACTCTGTATTTTCAGGAGTTATCACAATGTGTCCTCTGTAAAAAATTCTTGTTTATATGTGAAATATTGAAAACAAGCTGAAAACATGAGACTTCTGTCAACATTTTTTGAAATTAATAATAACCAATTTTCAAGATCTTAATACTTTGATAGTTGACCAGTACAATTTTCATTACTGTATTTTTTTTATCGTATAACATGATTTTATGTTATTAACGAATGTAAAACTGTCAGTAGTTCGTAGAAAAAAATGTACTACTTTTTCTAATTTAAGAGATTATACATAGATTTTATTAACAATTTATTAACACAATGAGGAATTTATCAAAGAAACAGGAACACATTTCGCCGTTAAAATTTAGTCATAATTAATCTGTATTCAATTATTATTGTTCTTGTTTTAGCTATGATTGCATGTACAATTGCCATTATTTTAACCATTTTACGTTCAAGTCAAAAATCCGGTTCAACATCGGCCCATCGTTCGCGTCGTCGCCGAAATATTAGTGTAATGTTAGTTACTGTTAATTTAGTGTTTATTACCTTAACAGCTCCCATTGTTATCTATTTGAGTGCACATGGTAAATTAAGAGATGAAAACAATGATTATCGTACAATTATTTTACGTTTAATTAAAATTCTCTGTATTATATTGATGAATTTAAATCATTCAGTTAACATTGTTATTTATAGTGTGACAGCTAAAGAATTTCGTACAGAAATGACAAATTTTTTACACGCTGCACTATGTTGTATTATTGGCGATGGTTCAAATGAACAGTATAATGATGGTAGTTTTGTATCACGATTAAGAACAATTCGACATAACATGTTCAATTGTTGTGGTCTTAAAGTAAGAGTTTATACAGCGAATGCTACGGAAAGTAGTAAGACAAATTATCATACTAATAGCAGTAATCATCAACCAGTAAGAAAAAAAGCAACACGACGAAATCGATGTGATAGTACAGAACGTGAACATATTGTTAGAACGAGTGATAGTGCATGTTTAACAAATAAATCACATCGTTTAACTGTCCAATTACACCAGAACGAAACATCATCCGTATACGAAAAAGAAATATCATTTAGAGGATTATCTAATTCAACAGAAGATTAAACGACATTGTTTTCGTTTTCATCGTTACTTCTCGAATTTTGCACACTTTTTGTCATCACCAAATATATCTCTATCTCAAAGTCTGCACACTTTTTGACTAATGAATAAAACATGGGCTATATAGAAAGAAAGACGATTAACAATCATACAAAAAATTTTTTTGGGTAATTTGTTTGAAATCTAAAGGACGGTAATAATTTTGATCCCGGAAAAATTACAGAATGGATCTCGTATATCAAAACTTGGCTCTTTCCGAATTGAGACCACTTTTTTGCACTCGCTCTCACTCTCTGCTTCCCGCCCTCTGATGTTTGTTTGATATCAACTAAGAGTTAAAGACAATTAAAAGATTTTATAAAAAAAGTGGTCTCAATTCGGAAGCCTCGCAAAACTTGTATAGAAAATGCACAAAAGAACCCGGTTTTCTTTGTCGGCCTTCTCACTTTCATCTCGCCACCATTGATCTTATGCAAAGTTTTGTATACGGGATCCATTGTACCTTTTCATCGAGGTCTTTTCTGATTTTATTCATATTTGTTGTAAGAATTAAAAGAAATATATTATGCAGGAGGATTGATAGTATTCTCAAAACAAAATTATAAAATTATTAAACATTTTTGTTGATAAATTTTTGGAACCAGAGTTGTTTGTTATTCTGCTCGAAGTTTCATATCACGAATGCATTACTGTTCTAGATATGTGGTTCATACTCATGTTGATCTTTTTTAATTACAGGTTTGTTTGGATGAATCAATATATCAGTAATACATGACATTTTCTGTTCCAATATTTCAATATTACAGAAAGTTATTAGTTAGTATACGACAAAGGTATGCGGAGTTTGGGCATGAACCATTTGCATTATTGCGCAAATGTTGTTTTGTTTTGTTATGTTTTCTAAATACAAACTTCTATTATTTCTCTATGTAACAGTTGAAAAACGAAATACAATAACCAATTAATTGGCATTATGTAGAAAGTTACTTACCGCACGAAAAGGCACATTTTTGTTTTTAACCTTCTTAATTTTTACTTGGCTACTTTCTCATGTTCAATTAAAATGACATTTTTTGAAAGAATAAAGAGCATGCAACACATATAGAGGATATATAGTGCGTGTTCGATAGTCTTAACTGATATCGATCATGCAAACTGAAAAGACAATTCAATGTAACAAAAGTACAAATATGCTAGTGCAACTATTTCATATATCATGAAATTTTTAATTTATTTAGTTGAGAAGCGGTAGTCTTTCAATATAATCACCGTAATACCGACATTTTGGCGGCAAAATCAAGTTTTATTCGCAGTCTGTGTAACTGAATTACGTTTACTGACAGCAAAACATCGGAAAATTTTTGTGTATCCTCCATGAATATCCATTAATTTATGCAGGTTAATGAGCCCCTATTTCTAATCATCTTAGAGAATTTAAATTGCAGCTTACTAATGGTTTACAGACGAAAAAAATTCTATAAAATTATTTGCAGTAAAGGAAAATCTAGAACAAAAATTGCGTTCGGTCAAGACCTAGATAATGGATTCATTCATGTGATGGCTCTGCGATGAAGTAGAGCGGAGAAAAGCTCCATAAAAGCCTGAAAAGAAGTCAAAACGCTTCGTTTAAGCTATAATAGCACCAATATGATGATTCTCGTCGTAAATATCAAGCTTTAGAAAGGTACACGATGTAGAAGTCGTAAGTCTTCTCTTTCGACTACATTCCAAAACCAGTTTTCAAGCTTTTCAGCATGTTTTCTGAAAGCCCTAGACGGTATTTATGTTAGTCCAAAAAGTGATAATTTTAGGAAAAATGCCTTGAAGTTGAATACCATGAAGATTTAAAATCAGGATCTGTCACCAAATAGAGGGATATCTTACGAGGGAACCACCGGAGGTTATAAATCGATTTCGGGTTGGGACTATTTTTGTTAGAAAGGCCCTAACAAACAGTGAAATACACCAGCTTGGTTCATCCCCATGGTGCTTTGTTGCTGAGATACTGAATTTTTAGTTAGTTTTTACCCATAGAGCACAGTGGGCATTTTTTGCTAGAGCAGGCGGACTTTAGCTTCATGAGTGAACTAAAATTTCATGAACCATTTTTTTATAGGTTTTTCATGATCCTCTTTCTAATGGCATGAGAGTTGGGTTTTGAAAAAGTTTCTAAGGAGTTTTCCAGAGATCCGATCTTTCGAAAATCCTTCAGAGCACTTTCTCAATATTTAAAAACGATGCCACTGGAAAGAGCATTGTTGAAAACCTACAAGAAACGTGTTTCGAGTCGTTCAGGTTACTTTATCTTGAAATTCAAATTTTCAGCACGAAATTGTTTGTGACAAAAACTAAGAAATTTCTAGAATTCAAAATCAAGCGACCGAAACTAGATGAGTTATACACCATTCGATGCAGTTTTTCATGCTGATTCCAAATATGGTATTATATTTTAAGAAAAGTGCATTTATA